AAAATATGGGGAACATATTATAATATGTGAATTCATGATGTTTAGCCACTGAATCTGGCTCCCAATTTTGAAAAAACACAAGATCTCTGGCTTTTTTGGGGTGAAACCACAGTGCTGACTCACTGCTACATCTCTGGATGGATTATGGTGATCCCATCGTATAGGGATTCCCCTAGTGGATATACCATGATATCCTGGTTAATACATGGTTATTATATGGTTAATGATGGTTAATAATAATCTGGTTGGTCTTTTTAACCATCTTGAAAAATGATGGAGTGAAAGTCCGTTGGGATGATATTGATGATGACATTCCCAACTGAATGGAAAATATATATATAACCACCCAGCAGGAAAAAATCTCTGTGAACAGATATCAACTTTTCAACAGGGGGATGACATCCCCCAAACAAAAGGGGGATAACACAAGCCATGGAACTTGACGGCACGAGGTGCCACCCGAAATCGCCTCGTAGTTCTGCAGAAATCGCATAAACTCATCGCAGTCGAGGGTAGTGTACCTGCACAGCCAAGTCACCAACCGCCCGAAAGCACCAGAATTTGCATCTGCCTAAGACATCAGCCACAACAAAGGTGGTTCCTTCAATACCGTTGATGTACATGGGTATCAATCGAGTGTCACTTAAACTGCATCCGTTTCAGAGCTGGAACGACTTCATGTCTTTCCTGAAGAGGCATCAAATGGAAAATTCCAGATAGGAGAGTTGATACAGTAATACCCATAGGATCCATGTATGGTATATATGCTAACATTGGGGGTATATTGAGGGGATCCATGTTACCATATATAGCATACATGGATCCTATGGGATATAGTCTAATGCATACGCAATCATGATTGGTGTACCACCCACCCTGTGTGCCTGAGAGGAAGAGGAGAGGCAAGGAAGATTGGAGTCCATGCTTGGTTGATGGTGACCATCATGATGGTGGATTCGGTGGATGGTTAAGTATTGTTTCCCGTTTGATGGCTGGTGGGTATATCATGGTATATCATGGTATATCATCATTGATGATACTATAATATACTTTTTTTGCACCGGTTTTTTCCATTTGATGCTGATGGGTTCACGTGGTGATGTCTGCAGCGACCTGGCAATGATTCCGAAGTGAAGCTACCCTCTGGTTATGTCAAAGTAGCTATGGAAAATGGCCATAGAAATAGTGGATTTTAGTGGATTTTCCCATGAAACATGGTGGATCTTTCAATAGCTATAGTTAATTTACCAGAGGGTATGCATCAAGAATTCTATTTTTTTAAAAAAATGCATCCGAACCAAGCATTTGGTTGATTCGTACTTTTCGCAATTGTCCCATTTTTTCACAAAAATAGAAGAACTTCCGTTCAAAGCTTCACAGAAACTGAAATGCTCCTAATGCAGCTTGCCATCTTGCCTCCTTGGAAATCATTGCTACATGGCTCTAACCTGTCTGAGATACAGTAGAGTAGTCAAGAGAATATAGTTGACATTAGTTGACCATCCTGTGTTTACCCATTAAAAAAAATGGTTCATACAGGAAGGGGTTCCATAACTAGCTAAGTTGGTTTCTAAGTACAATAACTAGGATTTATGATGGATATATATCTATATATTTTTCTATAGTTTTCTATAATTGGATGCGGTTCTATCCAACTTCGCCAACTAAAAAAAACCCTTCCCATGCCCAGCCCTTCTAGCGCCTCCTCCATCCATTCTTGCCGCTGGATGGTGAAGCCTTGTTCCGACTTCGTATCTTCGTATGAACCCGAGGAAACCCGACATGGGACATCGCAAAAATATGCAAAAATGGTTTACCTAAAACCCAATTGTTTATCTAAAATGGTTGAAAAACCTGCATATCTTCATCTAATCCAATGGTTTATCTAAAATCCAAACTTGTTTATAGAATCTATTTGCTCTTTCCGAATTCCCTATAAAACCTGTAAACCATGGTTTTATTCGGAATAGGTTTGTCTCGAATAATAAAAAAAATGGTTTATTGTTTGAACATCAAGCAAACCATACCATCCAATGGTTTATCATCATATTCTACCACTACAACCCGTTTTTGGACAAACCCACATCAGTAATGTCGTGGGATACTACTGCTGCTGCTGCTGCTGCTCCTACTACTACTACTGCTACTACTACTGCTACTACTACTACTACTACTACTAGGTACTACTCATTGTTGCTAATGGATGTCGTTTTTGGCGATCCCAAAACCATAAACCAACCCCCAATGACTTAGACTTAGCTGGGAACTGCGCCGAGATTTTGATTCGAGAACAATGGGATCACCATTGCTACAGCATCTCTGGGAAATTCAGTCCCTGAAATTGACTGTGATGTGGTCAATGGATAGATGTCCATTCTGCAGCTTGAAGCAACATGGGAACCTATCCTTGCTGGATATACAACATGATAATTACACTTGTTAACATATACGTCTTCCCATGTGGCTGGTATTTCAGATCATCCGATCTATTTGTTCAATCAGGCATCTGCATTTCAAATTAAAACAGGAAGTGGACATCAATTTATCTTGAAATCACCAGTCAACCAAAAGAATGGGTTACCCTCTGATATTCAAAATGGCAATAAGACCATATTACTTTAGTAGGAACATCATCCATACTGGATATTGTTTGGATACACAAGAGATTGTTTTGTTGAAAAAAGGATGCTCCCACATGATTTGTTGTGTCAGAACCTAGCAAAACAACTAAACTTCATAGGACAATAGTATAATAGTCAAGAGTACATTCTTGTTGGCCCTTCCCAAGAAACCATATGTTACCCAGCATTTTTTCCACATTTTTCCCATTTCCATCATTTCCCCAAATCTTGGCACATCTCCGATCCCTGGGCCCAGTTACCCGCCAGTTCGATGGCTTGCATCAAGAGCTCCTTATCCACCTGCGCGGCTCGCGTAAATGGTCCGTTTTCACATTAGCTATGGTAGAAATACTGTAGTGTGACCCTCAGAAAAATGGAACAGGTCAAATTATGTCAAATTGATCATTGGGGGTTTGCAGCAAACATCTTCAATACTATCATGGGAGTCAACCAGCCTCCGGCTGGTGAAATTATATACCAAGGGCTTATCAAGGGCTTATCAAGGGCTTATCAAGGGCTCATCAACCAGCAACCACTGATAAGGGTTTATTAACAATGTATCATTGAAACATCTTCAAGACTAGAACCGCTTCTATATGCTGCGGCTCCAACATAATCCGAACATGAAATTCAGTATCCTTGCAACCAACTTCCGTTGGACCCCATGGCGACCTCCCCTTGGTTCTGCAAACGTTGAAACGCAGACTCCCACCTGGCCGGGGCCCCTCAATGACACTAGGTCTACCCTCTGGTAAACTAACAGAACTATAGAAAACAATCTTTTTGAATAGGTCAATCAGCTAGGTCCCTACTTGAGTACCGGTACATTACCCCAAAATGTACACACACACACACTCTCTCTCTCTCTCTCTATCTCTCACTATGCATACATATACGGAGCATATATATATAATACACAGAGTACATATAATAATAATGCAATTATCCATATCATGTTGATATGATGCATCAATATATAGCATCTGCTCATGTAACAATTTTGCATTGTGTAACAATATAATGATGTCTCGGATTTTTCTAAGGTGAGCTTCCCCCCAACGCACAAAGGTGAGCTTCTGGAAAAGCGCACCTCTTCCACTGCCGCGCTTTGGCGACCTCCAATAACTTGCAATTTAATTATGAGGTATATTTATATAATAATAACATATAACAACATAAAAAATACTAATGATGATGATAATAATATATATATATATGTATATAAAACATGTTATTATTATTAATACCTCATTAATGTAATATATATAATTATATACATACATACATACATACCAATTATCATGCACTGGAATCTGGGGTAGCCATTGGGTAGCTATCGCAGGGCAACACAACGCACACTGACTACACAACAGGTCATAGCGACTTCAATTCGTCACTGGGTGCATAAACACTGAATCAGAAGACATCAACATAGTTCTAAGTTCATCGAACCACATTGGGTGCAAAAGTCCACTGATCAGAAGAACTGCTTGACAAGTCCACTGAACATGGAACAGGATCCGTTAGCGCCATTGATTGCATTTTGTTTGTTTTTCAGACTGCAAGAAAGTTCTTTCTAGTGGCCTCAGCCCATCCCCAACACCTCAACTGGGATCTTCGAAAAATGGAGATGGAAAGCTGCAGCTTCAGGATTTGGGTATGAGTCAAAACCTTGGTACCCTAGTGAACCCCAAATAACTGGTAAATGGATGTTCATCCCCCCAAATATAGCAAGATTGGTTTTGATACATCCCCATTTGGGAAATTGTTGGAACTGCTGCAGCTTCAACCCGTGTAACCCACACCCTTCATGATCTTCATGGGCCTCCGCATTGTGGGGGCTGATGATTGTCCTGAGCTGAACGAAACGGGGCAGGTCACGGCACAGCCCAAGCATTCTCCGCCAGGTGCATCTGGGGATCCGGACATTGGTACGGCCTTCCAAGGAGGATTGCTTCACATTTCTCAGAGCGAAAATTTGGAAGATTTTGGATGATTTTGGATGATTTTTGGAAGATTTTGGGAACCACACTGTTGGGAATTCAACCAATGTTTCTCTTGATTCTGTTCCAAAAATCACCACATGTAAATCAACTCTCAGCTATCCAAGTCAAAGGTCCTTGTCCAGACGTGTGACAAGTTCCAGTTTTCCCATTCTATGCTTCCCATCAGTGGACCTCCTGATTTCACAGAATGTGTCGTGAAAAGTCGTTTCAAGTAATCCAAACGATTCTCCATGGCTCGCACATCTTGGTCTACTGCCCAGAGGATGATTTGGGTATGGATCAATACCTATTAATACCATTTTTAGTGGGATGAACATCCATTTGCCAGCTATTTTGATGTTCACCAGGGGTACAAGGTTTTGACACACTGCCATTTCTCTTTTCTCTTTCTCTCTCTCTCTTGATGGATGAAAGACGATGAAAGGCACTCAAGGCGCGAGCCGCAGAGTTTTCTCATCCCAAAGCACGTCTCTTCCGTGCGCAGAAGATGATCAGGGCGATCAGCAGCACACCTAGCCCTGCCAACGTGATGAACACCCAGGGAGCGACGCCTCAGGCATGGTAGCCACTGCTACTTCCCAATTGATAAGGGTGGGCATAGATGTAGGCAATATTGGCAATAAGCATAACTTAAATAAAGAATTGATGCTGCAAATAAAACATGGATTACATTTGCCGGTTTTGGCATAGCTAGGATAATTGCCCATTTATACATGGTTGATGATGATTCACTCAATAAAAATAGTGATTTTCTTACAGCTATGTTAAATATTCAAATGGTAGAGATATTGGATCAAACAAAAACAATTGAGGACAGCCTTAGGCTAACAACTCCTATTGCCTGTCCGTCTTAAAAATTACCAGCCACAAGGGTTTGGAATTGTCATTTGCACCCAAGATTAGCACCTCTACCTCTGCACCATTGAAATCATAGCGCACTCTATAGAATTGGCGTCAGCCAAAAAGGTTCAAAAAGGGCTATTTTGATGCTTTCGAAACAAGGGCAAAAGGGTCCCCTTCAAGGCCCTTTTGACTCGCGTGTAAAAGGGTACACTTTGATAACTCGTAAAATCAACATTACAATTCTACACAAAGGCTCCAATTGATTGGTCAAAAAAACTCCTTGTGGTACCTCTGATTGACCCAGGTTTCCAGTATAAATAAAATCAGCACCTTTGTGTGAAATTAGGCTGTGTTATGAAATTGGTTCCACCAACAAAACTAGAAAGTTGGGACACCCTGGTCAAAAGTGCATCCACTATAAGATTAGCATGACACCCAGCGAAACTAGCCCTTAATGACAACCGAACATTCCATACTGGAACCTGGCCATGGGTTTGTCAACCCCCAAATGCCTGCCTTCCAACACGATTCAATGGAACATGCCCATCATCCTGATACCACACCTATTATGCTCAAACCGTAGGAATATAATCCCTTCCTCCTATTACTAAACCCCGCCCAAATACTAAAAACTAGTGTCCATCTCCAATTTTGGAAAATTTCAGATTGGCCAATTTGACTTTTAATTGATCCCCTTTAGAAAACAATTTAAAAAATTAAGCTACCATTTGTGGGTTTTCCCCCCTAATACTAAAAACTAGTTCACCCCGGGGTGTTTATCATTGGTCCGTCCGATGTTTTTTAATTTTTTATATTGAGGTTTTTAATTTAGTATTTGGGGGAAGCTTCGAAATCCAATTTTTGGCAATATTTTAATTGCATTATATAAAGAAATTTAATTGATTTTGAGATTGGAAAAAATAGTTTTTATTCGAAGGAAGCGTAGAAGTCAAACTTCCGACAATATGGACAGATGAAAAGCAGAGCAGGGCAGAGGCAGAGAGAAGAGAATATTTTAATCGCGTTATACAAAGAAATTTAATTGATTTTGAGATCGGAAAAAATAGTTTTTATTAACACGGGTTTTAATTTAATATTAGCGGGAAGTTTCGAAATCCAATTTTTGGCAATATTTTAATCGCGTTATATAGAGAAATTTAATTGATTTTATTTTGAGATCGGAAAAAATAGTTTTTATTATTAAGGGTTTTAATTTAATATTAGGGGGAAGCTTCGAAATCCAATTTTTGGCAATATTTTAATTGCGTTATATAAAGAAATTCAATTGATTTTGAGATCGGAAAAAATAGTTTTTGGTATTAAGGGTTAATTTTATTAATAGGGTTCCCTAATAATAAATACCCCCCTAATACTAAAAACTACCTGCCGTGTTAATTATTAAGGGGGGACGTTTAGTATTAGGAGGAAGGGAGTAATGAGGTACATGAGGTATGGACATCCCACCATCATTGGAGATTCTCCGAATAAAAACGGGAGGATAAGCATCCCCTTGGGAAAATAAACCATGTACAGTAAGTCGCAAAAAGGGGGGGGCATTTCTGCGGCACCAAGCTGCGACAATAGCCAAAAGTTTTGGTGAAGGGTTCCACCGCGTCAGGAATCTTCCAGACGTATGAATTCGTGGCGCAGGTGAGGATCGGATTGTGCTGGCAGTGGCAAAGCGCCTCAGTTCTGCTGGGTGCTCTGGAAGCGTCATTGCCCAGTGCATCTAGGAAAATCTGATAGTTGAGATTGGTTAAGACTGATTAACTAATGTTTTAATCGGTTGATTAAGATTGGTTAATGATCGTTGAATAAATCTTAATCTGATTGGTTAAATGATGATTAAGATTGGTTATCAGTTTCTCTAACCACAGCCATAGGCCATAATGGTGCTGACTTGCGCAATGAGCCCCCGCAGGGCGCCTTGATGTTGCATCCCAGGCCATAGGTAAAACTCTGGGTGTACGGATCATCGAAATGAAGAGATCCCAGCTCCGAAGGGCAGTGACCCCACATCCTGAAGATCATGGAAACTGGCAGTGGGAAACCCCTCATTTGACATTAGCCTCTGGTAAACGTTTACATAACTATGGAAAATCATGGAAAGATCCACCATTTTTAATAGCTATATATGTTAGATTACCAGAGGGTAAAATCTGGAAAATCACTAAGGGCAATTGTTCATGAATCTTCAGATTTTTGTTCACAATTTTCATGAATTGTTCCTAACCATCGGGTCGATGATCAGAGGGACCGCTGAACCGAATGGAAGCCTGCAGGCCGTGGTCAGTTGTCATTCATCGTATGTGATCATCTCCTCAAAAGTATTATCTAGGAGCTAGGAGTATCTGCAGCAACCCCCAAGGAGACCTTGAAGGCCATTGAAAAAATCAAGCAATGCAGCTGGCGACCCTTCCGATTTCACAAGGGCTTTATTGAATTGATTGACCATCTATTGGGGAACCACCTTTGAGGGGTTGGTTGAATCCCCATGAAGAACGGGATATCTTGGATCCTGGATGATCCTGGATGCTGATCTAGCATGGGGGAAATGGCAACTTGGCATCCACAACATCAACCATACCGGGACTGCTATACCCAAACATGGCCCTGCGATGAGAATTGGGGATCCAAATTGAGGTACAATTCCGACCAGTTTCGCAGTGTAGACTTTGATGTCCTCTTTCACTGCCTCGAACTTATCCTTCCTCAGCACGGGCTTCACTATCCAGCAACTGGATTGGATTCTTGTCTGGACTTTTCAACTTGGGCATTGGCAAAGCCATTGAGCATGCCCGCCCAAAAAAAACAATTACTTTACTTCGTGTGATCCCCACCATGACATTTATACATGTTCTTACTGGCACATCTTCTGGCATTCTATCTGACATATCTTCTGACATTCTATTTGGCATTCTATCTGGCATATCTTCTGGCATATCTTCTGGCATATCTTCTGGCATTCTATCTGGCAAATCTTCTGGCATTCTATCTGGCATATCTTCTGGCATTCTATCTGACATATCTTCTGGCATTCTATCTGGCATATCTTCTGGCATATATTCTGACATATCTTCTGGCATTCTATCTGGCACTCTATCTGGCATTCTATCTGGCATATCTTCTGGAATATCTTCTGGCATATCTATCTGGCATATCTTCTGGCATATTTTCTGGCATTCTACCTGAAAAATCTTCTGGCACTCTATCTGACATTTTATCTTCCTACATGAGGTCCGGCAGGGAACACTTGGCGTGGATACTCGCGGTTGAGGTCCGCCAGGGAACACTGGGCGTGGATGGTCGTGGTTGAGGTCCGGCAGGGAACACTGGGCGGGGATGGTCGTGGTTGAGGTCCGGCAGGGAACACTGGGCGCGGATACTCGCGGTTGAGGTCTGGCAGGGCACACTGACGTGGATGGTCGTGGTTGAGGTCCGGCAGGGAACACTGAGCATGGATGGTCGTGGTTGAGGTCCGACAGAGAACACTGTGGATCGCGGGTCGCAGTTGGACGAGGAGGACGAGGAGGACGACGAGGAGGACGACGAGGAGGAGGACGACGAGGAGGAGGAGGAGAGGAGGAGATGAGGAGGAGGAGAGGAGGAGCAGGCAACTGACATAAAATCTAACAACCCTCACCTGGCAGGTGGGGAAAAAACTGGGCAATTAGATGCAATTAGATGATGCAATTAGCTTCCACAACTCAGTCCACACCTTGTTGGATCTTCCAAAACTGACCCCTGGCATCGCCAATCCGGGCAGCTCTTGGCAGCTCCAAGTTTCAGAGTGACTGGCGCAGATTCCACGGCCTCTTTTAGAGTGGGTGGACCATGATCGATGCGAACGCCGCAGCATGGTGGCGTTCGCAGCCACAGCACCAGTACAGTGCCGAGAGCACCGGGGCAACCACCGGAGCAGGCAAAGGTACGTTGGGCAAACGACGGCATTGCGACGAGGGATGTGGATGAGCACCCATAGAAAACCACTGGGAGCATGATGGAGCCTGGACTTATCCACAGTATAATATCATATAATATCATACCATCATAATATCGTAACAGGATTAATGACATTTTGCTCACTACAGTACGATCTGCACTTCACTGGGATTTCCATGGCCACAAAGTCTGCTCGTCTCAGGGCTGCGGGCCAATCGGCCGCTGAAAAAAAAAAACGAAACGCGCAAGGATCGATGTTTTATGCCGGGAACAACTCTCCCTCAAAACTTCACAGGCCCGAATCTTCTCTGCTTGCTGCTTTCAACTCGGCTGAACAATATACAAGTCAAAGGGGACCATGGTTCCATTGCTAGGGATGAAAATATGAACAAGATTTGAAACCACCAAACAGCACTTCTTTATTCAGAGATTCTGCTTTTTCATGACGAGATGGTCAGATTTTAGGCCCAAGAACCTACGGCATTTCTGGCCAAGGCAAGCGCTTGGGTGCTGTACTACCCGACTTAGCCCATGAAATTTCAGCCTCCAATTGGCAAAACACATCATCCTCAAAAATATTTCAAATAGAGAGCTCATCAAATCTGGATAATTCAATACTTCAGTGTCTAGAAGTTATTATAGAAGTAGAATTTCTAGAAGTGCTGACCTCGAAAAAAAATGAAGAAACCATAGATCTGATACACAAATCCGCTGGCGCCATCCGGCGCCCGTGCCGCGCCTGTCTGTCCACAGCCTCCATATCCAGCCGCACCCTGGACAGCAGTGGTCATGGGGCAGCCGTGTGGCAAACACCTGGAGAAGTCACCATCCCACACCAGATTCAAGATGGTTTCAAGATGATATCAACATGAAATAAGATTATTTAAGATGATTCAAGTATTCTAAGTCAAGTAAAAACAATTCGTGAGATAATCCCCTTTACCAACATTAGTGTTGGCAGGTCACTTTGAAGTTGCTATAAATATTGTATATATCCAGAAAGAAATTTGGTTGGTGAAGATTGGTGGAATATACCTCTTCGCAGTGCTTCGCAGTCGATGTTACTTTCGCTTTTGACGTGCCCCAGCACGTGGTAGTTCCAGGAATCAGACTGCCGGAGATTGGTTGAAAGCTATTCCCAAGGCACTCTACAATGTTTGGAGCTCCTTGTTTAACAGTCAATTTTGCATCTCCACCTCTGTGGCTGCAGCCCGCGAAACAATCAGAACATGATCAGTAGCTGGTGTCTGGCATTTCCAGTCTTTCTCGTTTCAGACTTTTTGTTTGTGAGTTCTGCAATGTTACAAGATAAGCATCAACAGGATGATGATACGGGTCATTACGGGTCCAAATCGGATTCAAACAGATGAGCTGATTTACCACCAACATGACATCTAGAGGTTTCCAATCCATGGAGGTACACCATTTATCATCCATTTTAGATTGGATTTTCCATGAACCCCCCGGCCCTACCTACCCGGCCTTGGAACACTCAAATTGGGAATCTCTGGAGCTTCCAGGCCTCATCCACAATTGGGACCAAGCCATGGAAAAGCTTCAGATCTACCCGGTTATTCAACGTAGCCATGGTATAGATGGCCCATAGAAATAGATGGTTTACCGTTCTTAAAAATAAGGTGATTTTCCATGGCTATGTTAATCATAACCAGATCTAACAATGTCCTACTTTTGGGACAAGGAAGGCCGGGTTGGTATACAGTATACCGTTGATCTTCATTACCTACTGGCTCGTCAATGGAGGTGACCGGTTGTTGAATAACGAAACAATGTAAAGGAAACATCCATGTTTCAGATCATTAAGCAAATCCAAACACAGAAAACTCAGAAATCCCTGGTGCTTTGGATATTCGTCCTATTTACTGTATATAATCTCCCTTAAATGTCTCCGACCCAACAAAATTGAGATATAGCTTGAAACTAGACTAGAATTCTGGATCTTGAATGAGACACGCCTGGACCTGACGGATTACAGCCATTATGAAGATACAAACTATACGCAATATGACAATATATGCATGTATATGCAGTATTCGAGTCATGCCGAACTTAGGGTTGATCAATTGATGTCAACTGTGAAGCCATGGGCATGTTGAGCCAAGAATTGAGGCCATCGTTCTCCAGTTTTCCCCATGTTCGTTCCGCATTTCTGCAGTTCTATGGTGCGCACTCCCGAAATCCCCACTCACAACCCACCATTCCTGCTTCACCTCGTTGGAACTATGTCGGACATTGCAAAACTATATACTTTTCAACAAAACCATATAAATATGTTACATATATATATATTACATTTATATATATGTATTATGTTCCATGGTCCGGATCATGGTCACAGATTCCCAGTAGTGGGAGAACACCAGAGCTTCGACGTGCATGTGGTAGGAGCTTATCGCCATCTTGGAGGCATCATCCATCACTCAGGTAGCCAAAGCCGGGAAGCACAACAGCGTTTGGCTGTCGCACATCAGACCTTTTCGCGCCATCGCAAACTGCTGCTGCAAAATCCTGGCATCCCTTTGGCCAAAAGAAGAGAACTATTTGAGTCGCTAGTGATGAGTGCCTTCACATATGGGATGGAGTCGTGGTGCTTTATGGATCAACAATCCAAGTCCATGGTTCACAACGGCATCATGAAGTTGTACAAGCGGTTCTTGAAGCATCCGCATGATGTACCAGTTACAGATGAGCAGGTTTTGGCGAGCAGTGGACTCCCATCTCCATCGGAGGTGCTCAGGCGTGCGCGACTTCGCTACTTGGGCACTCTATATGCTTGTGGACCCGCAGCGGAATGGGGCTTGCTCTTCAGCGACAAATCCTGGCGTGAATTAGTACGAGATGATCTCAGCTGGTTATGGCGCCAATTGTGGAACAGCAGTGCTTTGGAAGACCCGAGTCTCCATTTTCCAGCTTGGGAATATTTGCTCCGCTACCATAGAGGATACTGGAAGAGACTTGTCACCAGAGGCATGAAGCATGCAGTGCAACAGCGCAAGAACCGTGTTTGGGTTGGCGATTTTCACCAACGAGTTTTCCATCATCTTCAAGAACAAGGGGAGCTCGGGGCAAAAGAAGCCGCCTATGTGTCGGAATTTGCTGATTCAGCCTTTTTTGGCTGCATGCGATGCGGGGTCAAGTGTGCCACACGAGCTGGTGAAGGAGCACATTTCTTCAAGGTGCATGGCTGCATGGAGTTATCAATCCTACGCGTTATCTTTTTGATACGTCACAGTGTCCGGCCTGCTTGAAAGAGTACCACACTGTCGGGAAAGTGCAAGCTCATCTCCGACGTTCTGCTGCATGTCGTGAACAACTTCATGGAGCCAGACGATGGTGTCGCCCAGTTCCAGGCATTGGTTCGCAGCAATGTCAGGAACAGCAACGACAACATGATGGACTGGTGCCCCACTTGCAGGCGCAAGGGCCGCAACAGATGCCTGGTCTCCATCGACCCTTTGATTTGGAGAATGGAGAGCTCGTGGCAATGATATTGGATCTTGCAAGTCAGCATTCCAGCCCCACGCGTCTGGAGACTGAGATCAGACAGGCAAGTGAAGAGCTGATCATCTCATGGACGGACTACACAGCGACGTTGCGACTTTGTATGGTGCAGTACTCTGCCGAGGTGGCTGAGGATATTGGACACCCTGTCGAGACCATGATGACCATCTTTAGCCGCCTTGGAGATGCAATGACTTGGCTGTTTCTATGCCAGAGTGGCCGAGAGCGACATCGTGGACCGGATCAAGTTGCCCACTATGAAGATTGGTGTGCACGGCTTTGTGACCAAGATTGTCCAGCTTGGACCTCTGCGTCTGTGCCGAGACCCATTGGCAGAGAACGTGTGGTTCTGCACGCTTTCAGTGGAAGGAGAAGGCAGGGAGATTATCAATGGTTCCTCGAGAAGTTGCTGCCCACAGGCCAAGATGGGCTATGTCTATTCGTGGTCTCTTTAGACATTGTAATAGATAGCAAATATGGGGATCTAGCTGACCCTGACACTAGGGGGTTTTGGCTTTCGCACATTTTCCAAGGGTATGTGCATGGATTCCTTGGCGGGCCCCCCTGTTGCACTTTTTCGAAAGCGCGCTCTGTGGCCTTAGAAGCTGTGCAGCCTCGACGAGCTCCCCGTCCAGTTCGATCTGCTGTAGATTTGTGGGGTCTTCTCTCGCTATCGCTCAGGGAACTGGATGCAGTGATGGAGGGCAACGTTTTGCTGAGCTTCTGTATCGAGGCCATCTTTGCGCTGGCGATGATGGGACGGCAAGGTTTGCTCGAGCACCCGGCAGAACCAGATGAAGAGAGCGCACCGTCCATCTGGAAGATCCCCATTGTTCAGCTTCTGATGCGCATGCCAAATGTACAGAAGGTTAATTTCGCACAAGGACTCTTCGGAGCCTCAAGTAGCAAGCCCACAACTCTCTTGGCTGCGAATTCACCTGATCTAATTCAGATTTTGAGGAAGTGGCATCTCACAGCTGATAATCCCAGGTCTGTGAATATAGGCAAGGATGGCCACGGGCAATTCCGTACGGCCCATTTGAAGGAGTATCCTCCTGCCCTGTGTGCGGCCCTTGCTGAAGCAACCTGGAATGCCACTTGCATGGCGCCGAGCGAAGATCATGTACAGCTGCCTGGTGATTTTCGCGCAGTATGACAGCGGCTGACCATTGCTGATTTTGGAGAGTTCCTAGGACCAGACTTTGTACATTAATGTCCCGAGGACCTCCCGAACTGGCTAGAATTCAGGATGCCACGCCGCGGCTGTGAACAGCCTCTATGTGCGTAGAGAAAAAAAAAATGTTCCATATATGTTCGTATTGGGCCTATAAGATCTTTACACCCAACATATCTCCACCGCTCCACCTCCCCGGCCCAAGGCCCGCCCGGCCCCACCGGGGCCCCACCTGGCTCCTCGGGCGTCACCAGCCGCTTCGGTGTGGAGATCTGGCGCAGGAACAGCTCCTCAGTCGATATTCAAATGCATATATTGTAGTGTGTAATATATATATATATATCCATATATTATACTATATATGGATATATATGGATATATATATATATGGATATATATGGTGTATATATACATATATTGGTGATTATATACATAATGGTGTATATAAATATAATGTATAATGGTGTGGATATATATATACATATACATATATATATACACATATGATAGATGCGTACACATCTATCACACCAACGTATAGATATATTATATTACCATAGGTATCTGATGGTATCTGGTTTGATGTGTGGACTTTTACAGATAAAGAGACTGGAATCCCTCTTACGTTCTTGCACCTCTTACAATCCACTTGGTCAATGCATTGGTGCGTGTTTCTTTGCTGACTGGGATCGTGGACTGGACAGAATCAACATGCATATAATATGTATAAATACATGTATATATATATATATATTATTATATATTTATATACACATGCATGTTTTTTCTTTTGAATACTGTATATTACTGTATATCATTCCCGGAAGTGTTTGTGTGTCATCATCCTTGTCATGGCAATTCTTAAGTCAGCAAACAAGTCATCATAGGTCATGATGGCTAGGCTGGCTATGAAAATCTTCTCACATTCAGGGCCACCCTCTGGCAATCCAACATAGCCATATATAGCCATGGAAAATGGGCCGTGTATATCTAGATGATTTACCATGAATTACCATGATTTACCATGATGATTTACCATGATTTACCATGATTTACCATGATTTACCATGATTTACCTTTGAAAACTCATGGTTTTCCAATGTTTTTCATAGCCATGTGAAGTTCCCAGAGAACATGGCGCGCCGCACCATTCCCGTTGAAACCCCCTGGGCCTGCGGTGAAAGGAGGTCACAATTCGTCCTCGGCCCGAAGTTCGTGGGTATCCAAGGGAGAAGATGGGTAGAACCCGGTGCCCCACATGGAGGTTATAACCCATATGCTCCATGTATGGTATATTTTCACCTACAAAACTGGTTGATTTTTAGGGCAAATGTTGGCAAATATTGCATACATGGAGCATATGGGTAATGGGAAAATCACCTACAAATGGGAAACTCATCATTTACATCGTTTTTTGCGGTATGGAATGGTGACTTGACATTTGAAGCGCTTGGGACCCACAGGTGTCAGAGTCACTTTGAGTTTGACCGCCCATTTTTGATTTTCAATGTACCGTATGTATTATTATGTATTCACATGTGTATTTGCATGTGACCCCAAATATACACTTTAAATGACATCAAATGGGTCAAACCTATGAGGGGAACTACCTGAAATTGCCTGTTTCTGAAACCACCAATCCCACCCCTTGTGCCTTGAAAAAAACACAAAAACGTGTGCTGCACCACCAATGTCATTTCTGACCAAATTGGAATGAGTGAGAACATGCCGACTGTTAAGGAGCTTGATTCTTTTGATTCATCGGTGCGTACACAGTGATTGTATCCAGTGGAAACTTGGTTGATGGGTACTGAACCTGGAATGGATAGGTAAAAAATCAATTGAATACCCGTACCTGTGCTTTAATGGCAATCATGTGCTCAGAGCAAATATCTCATAACTATCATAACCATTCATAACAATCTTTATCATGCTTATCCCATCTAATCACTGACATGTTGTTCATGATTTACCATCTGGTTATTTAACATAGCCATGGAAAATCAACTTATTTTTCAGAACGGTAAACCATCTATTTCTATGGGCCATCTATACCATGGCTATGTTAGTCATAACCAGAGGGTATCTTCTCATTTGATCCAACTGATCCAGGGCCCGGACTCCATGTCGTGGCACAGGTCCTCTTCCGAAGGCATCGCTTGGCCCTCGCAAGGCATCGCGGACCCCAGAGCTTCAGTGGTGTCCATCAAAACGCATTCTCTTCCCAAGAAAACTGGATTTATCATGATTTATCTGGGAATATCATTCAGCAAAAACATAGCTTCACTGGTGAGTCAGCTAATGGATTGTGAAACACGTAGTTTCAAAATGTGTCCATCCCCAAACATAGGCGAAGCCACTAGAAACATCGACCATCGGACCGTCTTGCTGTTTGAGGCATACAATGGATCGTTTGGCTCGACCGGCTCGACCATTTCGGACCTTTTCAATCTGCTCTGGTTGCATCCACGCACGTACCTGAGATTGGGCACGACTGGTGCCGCACGTACCTACTGGGGGTCAGTGAACCGCACAGTTGGCAAAACCAATGCTTTTTTCATGGCCCAACAAATGCACTGAATGAACTAAGGATAGCTAAGGGAATGTGAACTACTAGAATACCTCCAGACACTTTGAAGTGAACCCTCCGCTTCTTGTTGAATACTCTTGAACTTGGTTGTCTTTGCATTTCGCATAGTTGGTATTCTGACATCTCCACTGGCGGAGGCTCATATCCTGTCAAAATACCATCCAATTCAGATCGTTTCTCCTTGTATATCAATATATTTGTACAGGGCTCATCCTTGTTGCCTGAATACCGTCACACTTCTGCTAGTCAAATCCCCATTATACTTGCTCAAATCCCCACCATGTTGCCGGTTTTAACTCAGGTATGATATGACATTTGCACGATTACAACATCCACATGTTGGTATATGGGGATGGGTCAAAACCCTGGTACCTTCTGTTCACCCCAAAATAGCTGGGATTTATGGATGTGAATAACCCACTAAAAATGGTACTTATAGGTATTGACCCATACCCATATGATTAATATTACATCCATTTACTGTAAATCTCTGCAGTCGTCCTGTGTACAACAGGTTGGTTGTGTATCCCAAGACATGCGTTTGTCTGAAAATAGGGTACCCCTAGATCCGCTGTTAATCATTATTATCCCTATAAAAATAATAAACTTGGAGGGTATCCCCATTTTCAGTGAAACACACATATCATATCAAGTTGGTTATAGTTATTCTCAAATCCCAAGTAATTCCCATGATTTCCTTTTAAAAATTTTATTCCCCCATGATTTCCCAAAACTAACCACTCTGGTGTTGCTGCTTCATCCATCTTCCGTGGCCCCGGGATGCCCCGGGGCTGGCGTTCAAAAGGTTCAGTCGCAGTGTGCGCAGCGCAGGGGCGCAAAGCTGATCCAGCCTTGGTAGGCGCGACTCGAAACCACCCAAGCTGGCCCGTGGTAAGGTTTTGGTCAGGTTTAGCAAGGTTCTAAGGTTTATGGTTATTTATGGTCATTGTTGATTGTATTTTATGGTTATTTCAGTTTCTTATTTTATGATTTCCTTAACCCAAATGTGAGGTTTTTACCAACAAATTTTGAGTGTGATGAATCATCAACATGTTATCAGATTCACTCTCCAACCATGGGGAGAGTCTAGGGGAAGAAACATGGGAAGATTTACCTTTCTAAACATTGTTGTATTTTAGCAAGAAACGATGGGAATGTGTACCCTCCAAAATGGGGGTATAACAACCAATTTCCGAACCGGGCCAGGTTTTTTTTCCTACATGCACAGAAAAAAAACCGCAAGTTTTGGCCTCATCTTGGGAAATGAACAACAAGAAATTGAATAGACATATGCTGTCTATGCCTATGCCCTATGCCATGAATAAGTGGAGATATGTTAACCAATACTCAATACATAAATACCCACAGAATGGTTACCACATATATGGAGATATCATTCCTTGTGTTGGAGAGTGTTTGGGCAACCAATCACCTTCCAGGACGACCTTCACAGGTTCGATCTTCGGAAAAGTCAAGTGGGGATGAACCTGTGATCAAAGGGGGATGGGTTTTTCTCAGCAATGCCACCACCATCATATATTTCACCTACCTTGGTTGTTGACTGAAAGGTCTTCTAAATATAACATCTCTGGAGTAGACTGAGTAGGAGTTTGAGGAACTGAAATTGACAGCTTGATCTTGGATCTCTCCCAAAAAACTATAGGCATTTTCCAACTCTGTTCTATGCAGTCAGTGGGCACAATTGGCTTAAACAATAGGCCGCTCAACATTGGATGGCTGGATTGACACTCCATCAGCACCACTTGTCTGATCATATCCCATGGGTTAACCTCTAAAGAACATACCAGAGACTTGCCAGTCAACATGTCATATTCCCTTTTACTCTCAACTTATCTTTGGCCAATCACAGACTTCGTCGCCACAATCATCCCTGTAATCCCTTCCCCCATTCATATTAAATTAATCACCACCTGAAACCATAGTGTAATGACGATTTAGAATATATTTGCGACCATTTTGGTTTGTCTCAAGGGTACCGCCAGTTAATCGTGTTTTTCCCTATCAAAATGATTCAACATTGCCATTTTATATGGGTGGGCATAACCCATTTTCAGCCTGGCTCATTTAGCGGGGTGTTTAGTAAGAACGGGGGATTGCTGTTCCTTCCAGGCCCAGTCACTGCGACTGGGATCCCAACTTCTCTTTGGCGCCTCGAGCGCGTTGTTTCCGCGTCAACTTTGGCATCCGCCAGTCCGTCCGACGACCATCTGTGGTCCAAGCACCTCGGTCAACATATCGCAGAACATGTCTGGTTGGTGGTTGAGCCTACCCCTCTGAAAAATATATAAGTCATTTGGGATTATTATTCCCAATCAATATATATATATATGGGAAAATAATCCAAATGTTCCAAACCACCAACGAGTCTACAACTGGGAGGGTTTTCTGTTTGAGGATCAAACTCAACCAACATCCAATGGACGGAACACGACTATATTCCAATCCCCTCCTGTATCATCCAGCACTGGGGTCAGAACTTCTACGTGAAGCACAGCTGGCAGGCCGAACAGCAAGTCTGTTCACCCCTGACAGGCTACGTCACGGGGCGGCTCGACCAATTTGTACCCTTCAATGCGCTTCATCTTCATACCAGATTTCGGGAAGGCAAAGCACTAAGGGCAGAGGGCAGGATGGTGGGAATAAAAGTGAGCTGCCCAGCCCCAACTGGAACAAGTTTGTCTTCACCCGTCTGGCAAGAAAAGTACGGAGAGTAAGTGCATGCAACTCAGTTGATCGCGGAACCCCCAACTTTACCCTTCCAAAATAATAATCAACATCTGTGAATAGAGGGCGTTCATGATGTTAAGCCCAAAAGATCCGGAATATGTATTCCCAGGATTGAAAAAACGTGTAGATCTTGAATATAGATTCCAGAAGGGTCAGGGATTTCAACGGGGAATCCCCAGTGAAAAGTACCACGGCATCCAACAAAGTCTCACAACACCACGGTATCCAAATCCCACCGCCTAAACTCCGTCGCCATGGGGACAAACTTCTCCTGATTTGGCAAGGCACACCGAACGTGAGATCACTCTTTGACCATGAATTGCAAGTAGCAAGTAGTCATAGTATGCCGTAGCTATGGAACATCTATGGCTATAAAATCAAGTACATATATATATATATATAATATTGCATATATCGATTACACATTATACAACAAAACCTGATTTACGCTATTTCCCCCTTTTGCCATTCCTGTGGTCGGTCGTTTCAAAGGATCCTGCTGATGCACCTGTTTGGAGAGTTCAACAAGGACACCACGCCTCACATCTTTGGGCAAGGGCCTAGGTCGCACCAGCACTCCATCTTTGGCACATTGGTCGGACGACCGAAGGTCAGTGCAACGGATAGAGTAAAGATATTCAACTCCAATCTGTACGGTACCCTCCGGTAAACTAACATAGCTATTGAAAATGGCCCATTTATAGTTGATTTACCTATTAAAGTGGTGATTTTACATAGTTATGTTAGTTTACCAGAGGGTAGTACTGAAGCAACCCCTTTTTGTAAAAACACGTCATGTCATTTGCCAAGCGCCCCTGCGTGAGCCAGGGCATGAACTTGGTGTGACTTCAGGTCCAACCTGGAAAAGGCCCCAAGGTATAGCCATGTTCATAGGGGAAAAGGATAAATGACCTATGAATTCAATGAATTCATAGGCCAAAGCATGACAACCTATGAAAAACCTAGCAAAAACCAGAGTGAACATGACATCTATGGCATTTTATCTTGGATCTCAGAGAACTACCCCATTCTCGGAGAAATTCATAACATGGGGTCTGTGAGAATCCGGCAATGGCACAAATCATAGAGAAAGTAAACCAATGTAGGAGTGACAGATGGACCAACATCGCTGTTCTCATGTCCAATATATGAGTACAATCTTGAAGACTTGCGCTTGGCATCCTCAGTACATCCCAAAACTATATCAATATCCTACCTTCTGCGAAATAAAAACAGTGTGCTATGGGCTATGGAGAATCACCATGTCAGTGATTTATCATCCAACTAAATGATGGACCATGTATTCCATAGCAAACTGTCACAAATTACCAAAAGGAATTAGACACGTATTTAGTTGCCATTGTCTTTACTACTATTATTATATTAGTAATGCGTATTATCAATTACTATCAGGATGTCATGATTGACACATATTTAATATTTGGTCATTTGAAGTAATCTATAGTAACCATTAGTAGTCCCCAAAAGATCAGGACGCAATTCTGCAACCAGAACGCCTCTGAAGCACTTCTCCTGAGGGCTTTGAGGACCATGATGACCATAGTGTTTGGGGGTGGTTGAGACATCTCAAGCCATGTTTTCTGAACACATGGATTTGTAATCGGATATTATATTGCAAATATGATGCTTTATAGTTGGATTTTCTTTTGGAATGTTTTGGAATAGTCTAATAATCTAATGGCTGATAGTTTGGTAGTCTGACCGGTGGCTTTTGGCTTTTGCACTAGATAGTTGGCCGTGCATGTCCAGATGTATCGTTGACCCTTCTGGTTGACTTCGGGAATCAAATGGGTTAACATAGGGTCAACGAGACACATATTCTGGGCATAATTATGTGGAGCTATCATAATTATGCTCAACTATTAATCATAATTATTGTTGAACATACATCAGCATGAGCCATCACCAGACAACACGCAAATCCAACATGATGCGGATCTAGCACCAAGCACCAAGTCATCATCCAGGTCTAGCACCATGTTTCACTTCTCCTACATGTAATACACACTGATATGGAAAAACAAAACATAAAGTATGTAATATATTGCTTTATGGCTTTATGTATATATCTATACATACATATATATATATATACATGTATCTATAATTCTATAGATACTATGCATATATGTATGTGCACAATGCATGCACAAGTGTGCAAAAAAACGTGCGAAGATCATCCCCCAATTCGCCCAGAACCACCTCAACCGGGCAGCACTGCTGGCTCTGCTGGTTCCTGGCATGGCCAAAATGTCATGCTGTGGCCGTCATTCAGTTGGTTTGAAGGAACGGTTACAGCGGTTCTACCTTCACAACTATGGTTTGCTGTGAATTGTCCCTTTTCAAGGGTTTTTGTGCTCACCATTCACTGTTTTCTAGTTGAGTCCCTTTGGGTTTCTTGAGTTTTCGTTTGGTTGGTAAACTTCACATTGGTTTGATCTGAATTATATATATTACTGTACTTATGATGAAGCCACCATGAACTTCAGTCGTTCCGGTGATTAGTTCATCACCTCTGGAGGGCGCAGAAGAAGCTGATGATGGTCGAAATGGAAAGGGCGCGATGTAGCCGTGACCCCCGGGGCCAGGAGCCATGGCACAGCAAGAAACATCTGGAGATGTTGCTACGATGGAGTCCGATGGAGGAGTATTTAACATAATAATCACCAACATGATAATATCGTTTGTACAGTATAGGTTTACAATATTTTACAATCATTTCATACATCAACTGTCATCATCTACTGCGTACTACTGATAATAGCTGCTAAGGTTTCTTCGGCTGTGTTTTGGTAGAATCCTGAGGCTGCCATTGGGAGTACCTTGGCTGTGGCAAAGAGTTGCCGCCCGGGCCGTCATGATGCTTGAGCCATTGTGGAGCCACGGCGTCACACAACATGAAGCAACAACGGGTCTGTCTGAACATGGGGTAGGCCCCACTTTTAATGAACTAACAACTAACACAATATGGCAGTGTGTCAAAACCTTGTACCCCTGGTGAACATCAAAATAGCTGGTAAATGGATGTTCATCCCACTAAAAATGGTACTAATAGGTATTGATCCATACCCATATCTTTTGGGATTAAATTTTAAAATGAACAACTCTGGGTTCCCAACAAACCCAACTTCATCAGATATGAACATCTATGAAACAGCCAGAAAGTTGGTCACATAGGCCGGCAACTTGGCTCGCACATGCTCGCAACCAGTAGCACGGCCACATTGGCTGAACCCCCCATCTTCAGATCCCTTCATGGCTCCTTCTAAATTCACATTAACAACCACCGTTATCCACTTGAGTTTTACAAAGTGAATCGTGCAATAGAACGAGGAAAGTTGGTGCACATAACTCCAATAACTATGGTTTGTGGTACTTATAACTAACGAACGAGTTACTGGGGCGAATCTAAACCAATAAACATTACTGGGGGGGCACACACACAAATGGAAACAACATCAAAGCTGTCCCAAAAGAATGCCATCAGTCTGGCCCTTTTCTTCCAAGTCGGCTCAGCAACAGCTCCGTCTTAGAGCTGTTGAGGGTCACGGTTTCAAGCGCCTGCACCGTGGTCAAAGGGCGGTGAAAAATAATGAACATTAGCCATGTAGAGCTTGGTATGATATGATTCCCATAATACGTGGATAATTGATGATAATTGTATATTATAATTATAATAAGGAAAAACCCTCTGCAGAATTCCGCAGCTACTACTTGTGCAATCTTGTGCATACAATCTCATATATCCCATGTCGGTACAGTATATCTATCAATCTCAACTAGGGTTTGAACACCGCTCAAACGGGTGTTTCCGAAAGTTGGGAACTCTCCAATCTGAACAACCTTCGGGATTATCTGCAGCACGGAGTCCGGGAGTGTCCGCTTTTTTGGGCAGATGCAAATCCCACAAGCCATGCCACAACACATGAACCAACATGGACAAATCAAATAGTTTAAACACCAACTTAATCTAACTGTTGAAACATCTGGGTAATTATAATTATTCACTAATTTGAAAAACAGCTAAGAACAGCTATATCAGGATAATTCTCCCTGCTAGCCATCATTTACCCAGAAACATGTTGAAGCACACCATCCACATTTGACACGACCGAGGAAAAGCACACCACCAGTGCTCTGCACCTTCGACTCATCACAGCGCTCTTTGGCCTCCAAAGGGTCCTTAGTTCTGCGAGTTTCCTACATGTTATCCGGTTAGACTTCAAGATTTTAATCCTAAAATCATCCTGTAATATCTGTGATATACTGTACCAAAAAGTGCACACATCATTTGGGTTTGTCTAAAACATCCATTGGTTAAGGATAATATAATCATATATTCCCCATCATCTTGCCACGTTGGGTATCCGATTTTCAGACAAACCCATCTGGACATACAGCATCTTCAACGATGGATCGTTGGGGTCGCCATTAGCTGTGCCACACATTGAGGTCACGGCGGCGACGTTGGCGATTGATGGTCTGTGCCTAGGCGACTGATTGGTCTATGGAAGCTTTGCCAAACGACGGTAATAATGCTGCGTCTTGGAAGTTGGCTTGGCGTTTTAACACCACAGAAACACACAGGACATATACACATATATACAATATACGGTACATTATATAATATTATAATATATAATATTATATTCATATAAACATATATAAACCAATATGTTTACAAACCAAGAAAAATCATCTATAAAATCTAGAGATTTCTGGGTCTGGAGAGCATCATGTTATAGAGGAAATAGGCAGGGGAATTATATAGTAACTGTGGATAACTGGGGAGCATAGGTAAGAGGAATGGAGAAACACATATGTATCAACACCCAGCCAGTCAAGCAACTGTTGTCACATGTTGTCACCATGTTGTCACTATGTTTCGATTGAAGGCTTCCCTTCTTATCCCCTTCCACTCCTGGAAAGTAGCCGGTTGTTCCTGAGAGCCGAAAATCCCAACGTTTTCAATGAATTAGAAACTTCAACGTATTGCCGTATTGGATACCTTGATTCCATACATACCCTCCGGTAAACTAACGTAGCTGTTGAAAATGGCCATTTATAGTTGATGTTCCCATTAAAAATGGTGATTTTCCATAGCTATGTTAGTTTACCAGAGGGTAATCATTAATCAACAGGGGTGTTTTGTCAGGTGAAAGTCAGATTTGCTTCGAAGCCCTCATGAAGCGACGCTGATCCAATCGCACAGTTTTCAGCTTTCCCGCAGGATGTTTGTTGAAAACGATCACAACACAGCACAACGATATTGGACTCGAGCAATGTGTTCTGGCCGTTTTGATCCTGGAAATGGTCTTGAAAGTTGATGTATCCATGTAAATCCCTAATTTATTCTATGTGAGTAGATCCATTAATAATATCATATATTATATAATATATATTATATAATATATAAATAAAGATTATTATAGATTCATCATATTTCGACAAATTCTGGCCTGGCACTCTCGACGTTTTTTGACATTCCCAAAAAGCGCCTTTTGTGATGCCAAGTGGCCGTCTGCAACGGCAGCGTCACAGCCCTGTCGCATGGTTCAGCAAAGGGGATGGCCTTTTTTCATTCTGGGCCCATGTTGATCCATTGTGGACAAATGGAGGTTTCCTGAAATGGGGATACCCAAAATAGTTGGTTTATGATGGACAATCCCATTACAATGGATGATTTAGGGGTACCCCCCCCCCATTTTTACGAACCCCCCAAATGACTGCATGTGTGGTATTGTTCAAGAAGCTATGAGTAAGTGTCACAACATTGGAATCTTTGATCTTCAGTACAGTGCGGCATTTTTGCAACAGTCCTGACGAATGTCAGAGCAATCATATCTGATCAATCCGATCATTGATCATATCATGTCTCTTACGGTGTTCTTAAGTTTTTCTTTTACCAAACAGAACAAAACTTACAAAACCAGGGATACCCACGGCTCCCGAAACAGAAATTCAACAGAGCTTCTTCCAGGCAGATCGCTGCCTGAAGGTCGAAGCTCAGCGACCTCATCAAATCACACATTGAACCACCAAAAAAAAACATTTTGACACTTGAAACTCAGGGATGGTTCATAGTTTTCAAAAAAGCAAGCAGCACGAGATAAATAATCCTTGCAGCTTGGAAAACTCACCATTTTCCACCCCCTTGAGCTCTGCACTCCGACCGCTTCGAACAACGGCCTGCCACGGTTTCCAGTTTCCTTTGTGATCTTAAGAAATCTGAGTGGTGCAGCAATCCAGCTACACGACACATTTGTTGAAAGTAACCACTGCATTTTTGGGGCATACCATTCATCATGCAGCAACATGATTGCGAAGGCCAATTTTTTTACGCTGATTTGGTGACAGTGATTTTTTTTTCGTCTGCAAGTAGATCTGCAGGGGCAAGGCTCAGAGACAGACTGGACAGGAAACATAGGTTGCGTGTGCTCATCTTGCTTCCATGTGGTCCATGTTCCCATCAATTTACATCCATGTTACAGCTTCCGGCACTTCAAGTGTATATATAACATGATGTATAATTAACAACATTCAATATCATATGAACAGTACATATGATGGTTGTATGATGTTCTATGTGATATATATATACACATTCTATGCATTATGTACAGTCATCCTGCCACGCCTCCTGCGGTACGAGGCCGCCTAGGCTCGTGAGGACCAACGAAATTCCAGTGGTTCAGTGGGATAACCAGTGGGAGTATAACCATCCTATAATCAAGTTATAAAAATGTTATAAATGGGATTGAAAAACTTTCGTTATCACTAGTTGGGACTAGTTGTAACCTTAGGTATAACCTTGTTTGTATGATGGTCTAAGCGTCTAGTGTCTAAGCATATAGCCATGGCATGCCAGGTTTCTTTTCCTGCTGCACAACTCGATACCCTCTGGTTATGACTAACATAACACAGCCATGCTATAGATGGCCCATTGATAGATGGTTTACCGTTCTTAAAAATGGTGGATCTTTCCATGGCTATGTTAAATAACCAGGGGGTATGTATGTATATATATATATTATATAATATAGAAGACAAACGGAGACAGAACATGCAGAAATACAAAAGGTAAACATGAAACAACCAACCAGAACCACATTGCAATTCTGTTGCAATGCTCAACGTGCTCCTGGTTTTGGTGCTGGTTGGGCATGGCCAAAATCGTTAGCCCCTTCTGGGTTTTCCCACATCTTCTCCTCTCCCTGGCGCTTTGGCCGTACCTCGCACAGGACTTAGACTTCATACAGTTTAGTGCAACCACTGCCCAAAGTCTGGAATCATAGAAACACACATATACCACACAATTTTATTCAGGATAAAGCAACCACCTTCATCTACCTTATCCGCCTGAATGAATTGCAACATCTTTGAACAAATTTGAACATCAAGACTCAAGACGGTTAGAAAGTGTGCGGTGAATTTCAAAAGGTATTGCGACATCTTCCTCGCTCCAAAATCAAACCCCAAAAGTGGTGGACTTATGTGGACCTGGGGGTCTGAAGAGCTTCAGAAAATCCAACACCCAAGGTCGACCTTGGCCAAAGGTATCACGTCCTGTATCCTCAAGTAATCTAGCCTGACAATCAACTGGAAATTTGTAGATTATGTAGCCAACTTAAAAGCCTCCAAAAAATGTTAAAAACAGAGATTGCAATTTTGGGCTACGAGTACCTGAGTGATGCGAATGGTATGTCTTGGATTATCGTGGATGATCATGGTACATCATGAAACATGTATTGCCAATTGCATCGGGGTTCAGATAAGGGGGGAGGAGTTGTGCAGATGGTTTTGGTAGATACAGAGCGGAATGCATAGGGTGCACAACTACAAAATGCAAGTGCATGTACTTTTTTTTCAGCTACAAAATGAAGAACATAACTCTTTCTGGCTCGGAAAATAATTCAAAACCAGTACTACAAAATCCAATGCATCTGAAGTCAAAAAAATAGCTGAACGTCGGAACTTCTAACATGATTTTTCCCAATGACATTTTGTAGTTGGGTCTTTGCCATCCAAAGTTCCGACCAACATAAATTCGGAGAACATTTTGTAGTTGTCAATGATTGAATTTAGTTGGATCAAGTGTTGACCCCGTGCAGTTTGTTAGATGGCATTCTAATGCTTCAATGCTAATGAAATTTTATGTTGGATGCTTCAACTAACTCAACATATACAACTACAAAATGAAAATGCATGATTTGAAAGGAATCAACTACAAAATGATTCCAAATACAAAATGGGGGGCACAACCCCTCCTGTTTGTACAAAAAAATGCTGGCTGGCAATCTGTACTGTAGCCCAAGTCCTCCCCATTTCGTAGCTGAAATTTGAAGGTGGATCCAATTGCCTATTATACCACCCCCATGTACCGCCCATCTGACCATCAGTCCCCTCGCCTGGCGTGGAAACGCCACACCGGGTGCACCTCACCAAACTGGGCGTACTGGGCGTAAGTCAACTGTCTTGATCTCAGGGTATATGTCTATGATGAGGATAGACTAGATATCTCACCAACTTGTCTTGGGTTCTTGGAATATCCGGGGAAATTATTTTATTTCAATCTGATATTCTACGATGAGGATAGTGCACATCAACAAATCTGGAGATATGAAGCAACAAGACACCCCTGGTGGTTGAACCACCCATGGCAAAAATGAAACTGTCACAAGTGCCCACTTGCGGGAGACGATGATGCATGATTCTTTGGGATTCTGAATAGCAAATCTTAAACTTAAATCAGGGATGGATCAAAACCGTAGTGCCAAAGAATCCAAATGACCCGTTTGTGTATCCACTTTTAAGGGTGTTGACTATTGCTGGCCCATACACATGTCACATCCGGACGATTTGGGGACTGAAGGGACAGTGTTAAGCAAACCAGGAAACAAATCATGTGAAATGACATCGTGGTGCAGTTGTAACATCCATACCGAGTGTTCATTGCTCACCACTGTTTATGTTTATTGTGGATATATCTGGATGTGGTGTCCCTGAACTTGTTTTTGCCTGCAAGACATTTAAAGAGCCTCTGAACATGGGTATATAATCCGCCGGCCTGCCGGCGTGTCTGATTGTGAGGTGTTGTTCTTGTGTCTGTTCTTGTTTTGTACTTGTTTCTGTTCTTGGCTTGTACTTGTTCCTTTGTTCTCTTCCCGCGCGTTTTTGCTTCGTCTGAATCAAAGTCCCCCCCCCTCCTACTACTACTACTACTACTACTACTACTACTACTACCGCTACTACTACTACTACTACTACTACTACTACTACTCCTACTCCTACTGCTACTGCTACTGCTACTGCCACTACTGCCACTACTGCCACTACTGCCACTACTGCCACTACTGCCACTACTGCCACTGGTACTGCTACCACTCCTACTCCCACTCCTACTCCCACTCTTACTCCCACTCTTACTCCCACTCCTACGCCTCCTCCGACGCCTACTCCGACTTCGACTCGTCAGAAGTTTAAGCACAGAAGCTTTTACACACAGAAGCTTTTACACACAGAGGCTTTTACACACAGAAGCTTTTACACACAGAAACTTTTACACACCGCAGCTTTGACGCACAGATGTTTTTACACACACCGAAGCTTTTACACACCGCAGCTTTGACGCACAGATGCTTTTACACACAGAAGCTTTTACACACCGCAGCTTTGACGCACAGATGCTTTTACACACACCGAAGCTTTTACACACCGCAGCTTTGACGATGCCTTTACACACAGAAGCTTTTACACACCGCAGCTTTGACGCACAGATGCTTTTACACACACCGAAGCTTTTACACACGCAGCTTTGACGCACAGATGCCTTTACACACAGACGCTTATACACACGGCAGCTTTGACGCACAGATGCTTTTACACACAGAAGCTTTTACACACCGCAGCTTTGACGCACAGCTGCTTTTACACACAGACGCTTATACACACGGCAGCTTTGACGCACAGATGCTTTTACACGCAGACGCTTATACACACAGACGCTTTCACACACCGAAGCTTTTACACACGGCAGCTTTGACGCACAGATGCTTTTACACACAGAAGCCTTTACGCACCGCAGCTTTGACGCACAGATGCTTCTTTACACACACACACACTGGCCTTGTTTTTGTCCAGGCCACGGTCTGCGACTACGCCGAAGGCTCATATAAAATGTCTCTATGCACCAAATGGCTATGGCCGGCGGGCTTGCCGCAGGCAATTAAATATAAATATATATATATATATGTATATATTCATCAAAGGAAGTTTAGGGGGAGAAACTTCCGTGTTACGGACTTTTAGAATGTCAGGGAAAGAGTTAGTCAAAGAAAGAGTTAGTCAGGGAAAGAGTTAGTGAGGGAAAGAGTTAGTTGATTGTAACTTTTAGAATGTCAGGGAAAGCATTGTAAATGGCGTTGCAAGTGGTGCTGGTGGATGAGTTGCCGATGGAGTTTTGAAGGAAGTCTCGCACGAAATGCGTTTTTGAGAGATAGCAGATGCACGAAACCCTATGTTTTTCCATACAATTGCCGTCTCCGAACCTCGATGATCTACCTCTGCGTGCGACGGGTGCGAGACGGTCTCGTGTGTGGTCGGATCATGCTCGGATCATGTTCGGATCGGTCGGATCATGCTCGGATCGGTTCCGCATTGTAAATGGGGTTTCAACTGTTTTTCGTGCATGTGCGGTCGACAGAATTCCATTGTGATTTGCACCTGTAGGATCGTTCCCGCATTGTAAATGGGGTTGCAAGTGGTGCTGGTGGATGAGTTGCCGATGGAGTTTTGAAGGAAGTCTCGCACGAAATGCGTTTTTGAGAGATAGCAGATGCACGAAACCCTATGTTTTTCCATACAGTTGCCGTCTCCGAACCTCGATGATCTACCTCTGCGGTGCGACGGGTGCGAGACGGTCTCGTGTGTGGTTGGATCATGTTCGGATCATGCTCGGATCGGTTCCACATTGTAAATGGGGTTTCAACTGTTTTTCGTGCATGTGCGGTCGACAGAATTCCATTGTGATTTGCAACTGTAGGATCGTTCCCGCAATGTAAATGGATTGCAAGTGGTGCTGGTGGATGAGTTGCCGATGGAATTCCATTGTGATTTGCAACTGTAGGATCGTTCCCGCAATGTAAATGGGATTGCAAGTGTTGCTGGTGGATGAGTTGCCGATGGAATTCCATTCTGCTTTGCAACAGTAGGATCGTTCTCGCAATGTAAATGGGATTGCGGTTTGCAGCTCAGTCTTTGCAGATCGCAATGTAGTGGCTGCGTCAAGGTTGCTTCCTGCTTTGGCTGCATGCGTAATACTATTGTCTTTTGCAGCTGGACTTCGTAAATCGTATTGGAGTGGCTGCATGAAGGCTGCGACAGTGATTTGTCAGCAGATTTTCTCCATTTTGGCGCTACTGATTTTCCTTTTAAAAATCCTTTTAAAAAGTGCTTCAAAATTGTCTTTTTTTCGCTCTGGCGTCGAGATCCGGTTTTGGAGCTACAATTTCCGACGCCGTTGCGCGTAGTTCTATTGTGTTTTGCAACTCAGTCTCCGCAGATCGCATTGTAATGGCTGTGTCAAGGTTGCTTCATGCTGTGGCTGCATGCGTAATACTATTGTCTTTTGCAGCTGGACTTCGTAAATCGTACTGGAGTGGCTGCATGAAGGCTGCGACAGTGATTTGTCAGCAGATTTTCTCCATTTTGGCACTAGTGTTTTTTTGTTGCACGTAGGTTTAGAGCAGTGTGAAGTGTGGTGTGAAGTGTGAAGGAAGCAGTGGGAAGTGAGAAGTTTGAAGTGTGGAATGTGAAGTGTGAAGTGTGGAGTGTGAAGTTTAAGTTTGGAGTGCGAAGAGCGCAGTGTGAGGTGTGAAGTGTGAAGTGTGAAATGTGAAGTGTGAGGTTTGGAGTGTGAAGGAAGCAGTGAGAAGTGAGAAGTGTGAAGTGTGGACTGTGAAGTGTGAAGTGTGGAGTGTGAAGTGTGAAGTGTGGAGTGTGAAGTTTGAAGTTTGGAGTGCGAAGAGTGCAGTGTGAAGTGTGGAGTGTGAAGACTTTGCTTCGTCTCTCGCTGAAAAAAAAGCCGCTTGTCGAGGGAAGGACACGGTCGGGACAGGTTGTCTTCGAACTATAGGTCATTTATTTTTGGGAAACTTCCGCCGCCGGCTTGCCCGGGTACTTGTATAATGTATGTATGTATATTGTTCTTTGAAATGCTCTTTGAACTTGAAACGGACATCCAGGATCTTTTTTCCAGATTTGCGCACGATTCTGGCAGCTCTTTCTCCTGTCCACATGGTCTCCTGGTTGGCACGGATCCTATGCTGGATCAAGTTCATATTGAAGTGCCATGTCCTTCAGCGCCGTCACATTTGCATCACGTTTCATCTGAAAAAGCGCCAGTCTGCCACGAGTCCTGGAAAAACAATTGGACCAGGTTTGATGCCTATTGCGGGAGTTTTCCTATGGGGGGAATCAGGTTAGTACCATCTATGTGAACATATTGTCAATACTTGTCAATCATGTTGCGCAGAATAATTGTACCCAAAAAATATTGGTCGGTCTGTCTAGGAATTCCTACTTCATGGTTTGTGATTATTTACCAATATATAAAAGGGATATAGCATGATATAGCATTGGGACAATTCCCCCCACCGTGATCAAGCACTGTTTTCCTTGAAACTGCTCAACTATTACAGTATAATCAGTATATTATAGCTAAACCCCGCAGCTAGGGAGCTGAATTGATTTTATCCCCCTGTTCAACCAAACAAACTTTCCACAACTGCAAACATGAGCTACTGAATTTTCTCCAGGAATCTCAATGACATCTGCAAACTCTTCCACCACATGGTAGCTGCTTCGTTCGTAGTCATGAATCAGAAGCTGTGTTGCTGAAACCGACCATCCCATGCTGCTGATGGATGTCAGCATCTTTAAGAAACAAGCCACACGAAAGCGACCATCCACTAACACCACACGCCGTTTCGCTTGAATGCCACAGCTGCCGAAGGTCTGGCCACTGTAATTTGGCCAGCTGGAGATGTGCTTTTTGTTGCGGGGATAACTCAAACTTTTGGTGGATCCAATGTCCACAAACACCAACTCCAAACGACCCTCTGCAATGGCATTGGATACACTGGGCTGCTCTGAAACCAGCTGGATCCAGTCTTCAGAGCTCTCAATGCATTTCAAACACTGGAGGTTCCTATGCTTTGCAGCAAAGGTGGTTGAGCCACCAATACCAAACTCCAGATATGCATCTGCCTGCGAAAGAGTTTCATTCAAGAGCTGGATTTCTTTCTTGGTCATCATGGGTTCCATTCCCGTCGACTCATTCCCTCTGCTCCGTTCGAGTTCCACAAATTCCTTGTAGGCATCGTCCAGTGAAAATGATTCGCCGATCTCTTCGCGGGGCATTCTTTTCGGTTGGATGGCCGACGCTGCGAGCAGGAGAGACTTCCCCTGTGCGACCTCTGACTTTTCGGCGCAGTTATTTCCTGCCCCGAGCCAGAAAGCGGTAAAGAGACACATGCTCAGCATCGACACCATGTTCATGGACCTGCTGACACGATACTAGTTCGAGTAACGTGGATTCTGGAACCAAATGCCAGCGACTTAGGTCCCTACTTAGGTCACATTCAGAAGCAACACACACTGACCATAGGGACAGAGGGAATCAGGAGTTTGATCAACATTGCCATCTCTGCCCTGAACTCCCCTGAGGCAGCGGCCCACAGGGAGGATAGCCTGACGTTCACCCTCAAACATCCAGCATCCGAGGAAGCCTGATATAACATCTACTGGTTGGTGGTATACCTAACCCTCTGAAAAATATGAAAGTCAGTTGGGATGATTATTCCCAATACATGGACAAAATAAAAAATGTTCCAAACCAACAACCAGAATAATATTCTATAATCCATGGTATAATAATGGCATATCCCCGGATAATAAACAGGTATGGGTCTGACTTTCTGAATGGTAGTGGATGTGGCCATGTTCGCTGTAAACAGCCTCCAGTTTCTTGTGGTAACTCAGTCTGAGCCATACTAGTTGCAAATGCCAACAATAGAAACCCAGTATATATACGGGATGGGTTCATGGCTTTAGGATGTTATACTCTGTTATACTATGTTATACTTGCACATTTTCATAGCACACGCACAAGAAAACAACATGAGTTGTAATGATTTTTTAATGATCATGATCAATCCGTCATTCCTTCCCTGCTATTTTTTGCTGTGAATACCACTGGTTGGACTCCCAAATTGGCCATCGGAAACGTGCTGGATGAAACCAGCTGGATGAAATGAGCCGTTTTTTTTTGCAGCAGAAATGGAGGTCAAAATTGAAGATCCAGGGAATCCAGGGTAACATAATGTTACTCCATCTTTAGTATCAACCAATGGTACAGTAAATTTTTGGGGTACCCAATTTTTGACTCATTTGGAAACAAAGCTAACTGTTAAAGTTACTGGAGTCCTCTCAGCACACTGGAGCATAAAGAATTTCTTTCAACAGGTGGCTTTGTCACGGAAGTCGTTGAAGTCGTGATAGCCTTGTGGCCTGGAGCATGACCGACCCAGAATGGTTGATGTTGATGGAGAGTACTTACCCCAAAAATCACCAAATCATAACAGGTTTTTATCTGTTCCAGGTGGCAGTTGGAGGAATACATACCATGGACCAAGCCTGACACCTTTTTAGGTGGATATTGGATATTGATGGAGTGCGTTTCTGCGATAGCAAGTGATGTATGTCGTTTGTAATTCAGCACAAACTGTTTCTGATATCATGGACAAAATGGGGATCTCGTGAGCTGCACACAGGACCAGCTTCAGTTTAGACTTCTTCCACGGGTTTTGATTTCCAGAAACAACATCATACTGTGGATGGGCCATCACCAAAAAAAGGTTGAAACATGTTGAAACATGTTGAAAGCATATAAACAATGGGATGCAAAAACCACCTTTTTCAACTGGTGATTTGGATTTCGCTGGCCCATCCACCAGCATTACTTTCTGACGAAGCGCATGGCCTGGCCATGGGATCGTCAGCGTTCTTGGCCGTCCACAAGGAAGGCAAAATCTTGAGATCCTGCGACGATTCGGCAGCTCGTTTTGGATCTTCCCATGGGGGTTTCCATCAATGGGGTACCCCATTGACGCTGGACCACTGGATGGTTTATACTGGCAAATCCTAGACTGGATGGATTTGGATGGATTTGGGGGATCCCCCATTTTAGGAAACCTCCATGGCATATCCAGCCAAAAATACCTGTTGTAGTTGGTTGGTTATTGATGGTGACGGTCACCTATGGCAGGTCTTCTTTTTCACGAGGCTGGTCAGAGACCTGTTTCATCTGATGGTTGGAGCCAAGCCAAAGGCACGACAACTTGGAGTTATGATTTTGCTGCAACGTTGCGACTCAGAGAGTCTTCCAGAAAATCATGGCTTTGATGCAGCCCATGAAGTATGATGATGTATGACTGTTGCTGACTTATAATTTATGTCGATGTAGTCATGTAGTCATTACGATATTACCATGGCTATTTCATACCGCTATAGTCAGTTTTTGTCGTCGCAGTTTCAATCATTGGACAAATGGCTCGGCATCTGCACGTCCACAAAGGGAACAGTTGCAATAGCTGTTGAAAGTCTTTCAATCAATACGCTGCTCGAGTTTTATGCAGCGTGCCCCGGTCGCACTGTAGCTGTGAGCAACAGCAGGATGTCTTGGCAGGTGCTTCATGATGCTTTCAAATCCTGTGGCACAGATTTCACTATCTGGGCACTAATTTTGCCTAAATCTGGTCTCACCATGTCTCAGGACATCCGACCGCTGCACAGTGGTCCCGGTCTGCAAGCGATCAAGTCGCTTCCTGCCCTTCATGAGCTCTGCGAAGTCGAAGCATCCGGCCTCAGCTTCGAATTTCTGCGACACTAAAGAGAAAAAAAAGGTTCCAGTCAAAACTTAAGATGACAACAGCCAACAGCGTGTGATTTTGCTTCACAAAATAGTGGTACATGTTATAAATCGAGATCCTCATGTATATTGGGTATCAATCAGGGATCCGTGCCTGAACACGACCGTTCGTGCGTCGTCTCCCTGCACTATGTGAGATCACGAAGCACCTACCAACCTGTTTACCTGTGAAATATTTACATCTTTCTACACATACCCATATGATCCATGTATGCTATATTTACTTACATTTGGGTGATTTTTAGGGCAAATGTTGGTACATATTCCATACATGGAGCATATGGGATAGTTCAAATATGGTCAAATTCATTCAAATAAATATTTGCAGTACATCACTGTATTTCATTCACTTTTCCTTCACGTCCTATTTTCGGCCTCATCAGGGATGTTGCAGCAGGGCATCGCCGCGAAGAAGGCCTGAAGCAATGCAGGGTGGCTTCCAAGGTTTACCGAAGGCACATGTCTTCGACAAAGGCCACAACCATCACAACCATCACAACCCATGGGGCGTGGCGGGTGGAAAGATGTGGAAAGATGTGGAAAGCTACGGAATCACCGGGGCCACTGCTCCGACGCCATCCATCATGTCCTGCGAATCGCTGGAGCCAATGGAGGTGCAGCTGAACCCCAGAAACCACGAGTGCAGCATCCCTCGCCAACCGATGACCCACTTCCGTCCTGAATGAACTTCCAGATCCCCTGCCAGCGCAAGATGAGTCAAGATTTTTCAGAATGATTCAGGCAGGGGGGATGCTATTGGGTGATTACAGTGATCACTGAAGCACTTGTGATCTGATATGAACAAATCACTATCACCTTGGTCGTGTCGATATTTGACTGGACTGGTCGTTGATATTCACATAATATATATATAGACATATATATATATATATAGGGTGCATTTCTTTTTCAGTCTGAGGCACTTTTCCTTGCTATTTGCTACATTTTGGAGCAAAAACCTGTACTTTGCTGAATTTTGGAGCTAAAAATTGCCATTTGCACCGTTCATCGACTTTCCATGGTTTTACTCGATTTTTCCATGGTGTTCATTGATTTACGCAAAATGTTCATCGATTTTTCCATAGTTTCCATTGAGTTTTCATGAATTTTCCATGGTTACACTTGATTGTTCCATGGTTTCAATCGATTTTTCCTTGCATAACATGCACCTGGTGAACATGTAGAATATAGGTTGAAACACAACCCTGTTGGGTCTAAATAGTGGCATTGGGTGCTATCATAGTGTTGGTGAGTTTAGGGTTTATTTAGGGTTGGTTTAGCGTTGGTTTAAGGTTTATTTAGTGTTGGTTTAGGGTTTATTCAGGGTTATTTAGGGTTGGTTTAGGGTTTATTTAGGGTTATTTAAAAGTTATTTAGGGTTGGTTCCGGGTCTATTTAAAGCCTGTTGAGGGTTGGATCAAGGTACATGTAGGGATACAATGTGTGTGTTTGTGTGTAAAAAGATACAGATAGATAGAAAGATAGACAAACAAATAGATAGATAGATAGATAGATAGATGGATAGACAGATAGATGGAAGGATGGATAGATAGATAGATAGATAGATAGATAGATAGATAGATAGATGGATAGATCGATAGGTAGATAGATAGATAGATGGACAAATGGATAGATAGGTAGATACAAGGATAGGGTAGGATAGGATAGGATCGGATAGGATTGGATTGGATTGGATAGATAAATGAATAGATAAATTGATAGATAGGTAGAACCATACGATAGGATAGGATAGGATAAGATAAGATAGGATAGGCTAGGCCAGGCTAGGGTAAGATAGATAAGATAGATAAGGTAGATAAGATAGATAAGTAAAAAAAAACTATAGAAAAGAAAGATACGATAGATACGATAGATACGGTAGATAAGATAGATAAGATAAATAAGATAGATTCGATAGATTTGATAGATTAAATAGATTAGACAGATTAGATAGATCAGACAGATTAGATAGACAAGATAGACTAGATAGATACTTTAGATGGATTAGATCGATACTTTAGATAAATTAGATATATACTTCAGATGGAATAGATAGATACTTTAGATATCTTTAGACAGATACTTTATATATTAATAGAAAGATACTTTACATAGATACTTTAGATTGTTTAGATATACGAGATAGATAAGATACGATAAAATACACTCAGATAATATTAGATAAGATAAGATAAGATTAGGACAGATTAGGTTAGATTGGATAGAAAGATAGATAGGCAAAGCATGGTAAAGCCACAAAAGCCATACACCCACAAAAACCACAGAAGCCACAAAAACCACAAAGCCAGGCTGGAAAACAAAAATAACAAACGAACACAAATAAAAAAGGCCCTCCTTTATAATTATATAATATGCGTCAAACATGTCTGGCAAAATCTCACAAATGATTCAGGAAATGAAGAATGCAGAAGAATCCGATGGATCCGCACCAGAATGTTTGAAACATGTGAGAAGGCACAACCCAATTCCCGGCCTTCTCCGGCTTCATGGCCTGGAATGCCTTCCGCATCAGGGCTTCCTCCTCCAGACCATCGAACCCAGTGGCGCAAAAGCGCCATGTTCTCACGGCGGCCCTCAGCGCCATGTTGTCGTGTGTCACCTCAATGTGATCAATCTCAGTCCACGGGCACTTCCCATTAGGCCTCTTTTTCAGGATCGGCTCGTACTTGACGATTTGGCCGAATCGCACCTTCCGGTTCCCCCGGAATTTCGTTTTGATGGCTTCCATGATCTTCTTCCTCATCGGAGGAAGCCTATATCCAAGTTCCTCGAGGAACTTGTCCGTGGTGGTGCAGAGGCCACCCTGCTTTACTAACGCCTCAATTCCCGACTCAAATCGAGCGCCCAGCTTCTCTCTCTGGGCCCACTCTGTGAGATGGGCCACGTCGCGCCATTCCTGGACAGGATTGGACGGCGACATGGTCTCGATGTTGTACGCCTTGCACATAATTAATCTTTGCATGTCTTTGCATATTCCAGGGGTCCAATCTTAAACTGTCACTTAACATGTTGGTCCAACAACGAATTCTTAAATTTAGCATATGCAGAAGTGATCAGAAGTGTAGTGTTTTTGCAACTACAATATTTTGACATTTGACTCTCGAATATTCTTGTATCATCGCGCAACCAATCGTGCATCAAATGGCTCCAAATCGTTGCTGCTGATGCTTGCTGCTCTTTGCTGAGACTTCCCGGAGGTTTGGGTCTAGTTCCTGGGTCATATTTGGAGGTGTCCGTTCACTGTTCTGAAATGCCTACAACGAAAGGACACCTGGTTCAAAACAAGTGGGGGCAACTGAAATAACACTCCAATGCAGGGGCGTTTGACTTCTGGCTGCATTTCTGCAAAGCAGATTCGTAAAGCACAGGCAGAAACCAGCCAAATATGATCAAATAGTATCAAATAAACATTTCATCGATTTAGACACACTGGCTGGCACATGACTGTCACCGGGGCTTGTTTTTGTGGGATCATCGATAACGGCTTCCGTGCTGGTGGAAGGGGCTGCTGAGGATTGTAGAGCATTGAGGCGGGAAAACTTCACGCAAAAACGGCGTATTTCATACGAAAACATAGCATTTCAATGCATTTTAAATGTCAAACAATTTCATGCAGTTTCATGCGAATGGAATTTCGATATTATGGGCTATAGTTTGCATCGGGCTGTTATTCTGAGCCACTAATAAAAGAACAAATATTATGTAACTTTGCAATGTTTTGATCATGGGTTTGCTCTGGTTTCAAGACATTTTTCATTATATCAGGGAGCTTGCTTGCAATATGTTTGCTAATGGCCCGGAAATAGCTGGCTGAACCTAGGGGCAAAACATCGTTCTCCAAGACGACTATAGATGATCCCCGTCTGTACTCCAACGTGGGGTACAGTCCTAGAAAAAAATCGGTCTAAAATGATGACCCCTATCCTTTGAGAGAGGTTTTAAAGCTTTAAATTCCTGGCTCCTAACCTCTGAAGCCGAAATCTCACTTCCAACCACCTTTTTGAATTTTCTTTGCTAATTTCCTGGTGCCCAACGTCCAACATCCAATAAATTTACCCCTCTGATATCCAAGTAAAAAAAATATTTCCTGGATGCTTGCGTTGGTAACATGCCATATCTCCCCCCCCCTCAATCTGATACGGGAAAAAAATGAATTCCTGGCACCTGACTTCCCGGCTGACAGCTTGCAGTTTTTCAGAGCCCACGGCTTCACGGGTGCGGTCCGGCAGATGCCCACGGCAATGCGCAACCCTTTTGCATGGACAAATGTATCTTCAGGAAAAAACGCCTGTTTTGCAATTTGGCCACGCGTTGGAATTTGTCCCATCATTTCCTATCTATGGATGGTTGACCTGGTGATGCGATTTTTTGCAAAGTCACCTTTTTTTGTTGGTGAAGGTGAACATATGTGGTTGCACCCTTTTGCAAAGTCATGTAAAGAATCATACCCCCTCAATTAATCATGGTACATTTTTTCCTGGGGTTTGACATTTAGATATGTTCTAGTAAACTCCCATTTGATCCATCCACCTTCAAATTCCTGGCTACTAACCTTGGGGATTCTACAAACTTACCCGTTATCAGAGTCATTCATGATTGATTTCCTGATGCCTTACATACACAGACTAATAGATCAACCCCCCCTCAATCACAACAGACAGAAATTGATTTCCTGTCACTGTACGTCAGGAAGCTTTCAGGAAAAAAAATCTGGGCCTTTTTGGGTATGATATTCTTTTCCTGGCCCCATGCCCCGGGACCCTCACCCACTGTCTGCTAGATTTTTGGAAAATAGTGCTTTTTAAAAAGCGTACTGAACCCCCAGGAAAAAAAACTGGTAGTACAGAGGAGGGTATAGATGTTTCAGGGGTGCAAGCCCAGTGGTTGTAAGTGCTTAAGCTCAGTAAGTGACGATAAGTGTCGCCTATTATTCTATTTGATCTTTGCACGTATTCGAAGAAAGTGGAGGAGGTGGGGAAGGCGAGGGTAACACAATGATCACAATGGGATTTCCCATGCTTTTAGACATCAAAGGCATCAAAAGACCTCCAGACACACCACATCTCACCACAGAACCCCCTTTGGTACGAGGTCAGGCTCCTCCGGTTGGTCATCCAGCTCAGGCCAAGGATCCTGAAATCCATGAATTGGGTACACGCAAACTGCGAAGCTAACCACTCACAAGACTTCAAGATTTCATGAAAGACATAAATCATAAATCCAATCCCTGCATGCTCAGATCAAATGCTCCTCCTGTGGCTGCTGCTCAGACGTAGAAGGGCCAGAATCCTATGGTTTCAACAGGAAGATCATGCCATCTCACTTGATTTTTTTTCATCGGAAAAGAACCTCAAATCAGATCACATCATGATTGTCTACATCCATGATCACCATTGATAACACTTGCGAAAGGATCCATCTGCATCCTGCTTTTCTGGGTCCCCCTGTCATGACCCCACATATGCCATATGCTATCTTTGCATTAATCCCTTCTCCCAATTACTAAACCCTCCGAAATACTAAAAACTAGGGTCCATCTCCAATTTCAGAAAATTTCAGATTGGCCAATTTGACTTTTAATTGATCCCCCTTAGAAAACAATCTAACTAGACGACGGATGGCCCGAGAGCGTAGAGGAGCAGGGTCTTCTCTTGTTAGTATGGAGACACCATATTACA